AGTGCACGCCCAGCACTCAATCCGTGGACCCTCTTCATGTAGAATTAGTAGACAGTGAGGTAGAACGCAGAGCCTCCTTGCCACCCTCGGATGCGTTACCACCCGTCACCCCGATGGAAGTTAAAGACTTGATCAAAGACCTACGTCCTCGCAAGGCTCCCGGTTCCGACGGTATATCTAACCGCGTTATTAAACTTCTACCCGTCCAACTCATCGTGATGTTGGCATCTATTTTCAATGCCGCTATGGCGAACTGTATATTTCCCGCGGTGTGGAAAGAAGCGGACGTTATCGGCATACATAAACCCGGTAAACCAAAAAATCATCCGACGAGCTACCGCCCGATTAGCCTCCTCATGTCTCTAGGCAAACTGTATGAGGGTTTGCAATGTATCGGCCAGCAGCTCTGCTTTTTCGTCATCATCGAACGCCGCGAGTCGGCCTGAGGGGCCTACGAGGGGGGGCATAGTTACTACCGTATCCGATTTGAGAGTACGAGCTAAGCGGTAGTAAGACCTTTGGGAGGGCGCGAGTCCTTCTAAGAAATCAGACCATCTGGCATCTCGGACTTCGGCGATGCGAGACTTTACGTCGCGTTGTAGGGCACGCATTCGAATACGATTTTCCGCGGTAGGATACCTGTCGTAGGCGCGTATCGAGGCGTTCTTAGCTCTAAGGAGTTCCCTAATATCGTCGGACAATTTGAAGCGGTGAAGGAAGTCCTCCGCTACAACTTGTTTCGAAGACCTATCTAATGTCCAGGTGATGTGTGACGTTAAGATGTCTATGGCTTCAGCGGTATCCTGAGCCCTGAGGGCTAAACGGGAGCGAAGGTGGATCACATTCAGCCAGGCTGATGTCCAGCGTGTGCCAATCCACCACAGTCCTCGTGACGGGAATGGAATCGGGAGCGCGACCGAGCTTCATAACGACGGGACGGTGGTCTGAGTCTAACTCTGCAACTACTTCGATCGAGTGTAAGCGCAGAGTTACGTTTTTTAATAACGCTATGTCGAGTATATCCGGGCGATGCGCGATATTTAGCGGGTAGTGAGTCGGGGTTAGCGGAGCGACGATATCGAAGGCGAGATCATCGACTAACGCGATAACGCGCTCAAAGTTGATCGACTGAAAGAAGTCGATCGCTAAAGCGAGATTGTCGGACGCGGTCGGAGGGCAAGTCGCGGGAGAGGGACGAGTTGCGGGGGCGGGACGAATCGCGGAGGTGGGAGTTGTAGCCGTGTTCGTGTACGGCAGCGATTTCGCCCAGGCCGAGACATTGGGCACCGCCGCCGGAACGAACGCTGGCTTAGCCTGCGACACAGAGGGTGCCGAGGCTTTGATGTCTAGGCCGGAAGCTCGGAGGCGGTTTTGGCGGGCGACGCGGCGATTTATTTTCGGGGCTCGGGGGCATCCGCGGTAATTTGCGGGGTGACCCTGTGTTCGACACAGGACGCAGCTAGACGGTTCCGTCGCGGTTTTTTGATCGCGAGTGCATAGGGCCGTGGCGTGATCGCCTAAACACTTGACGCATCGGGGGCGCGCGTGACAGTTACGCGAAGAATGCCCGTATAATTGGCAGTTATGGCACTGGCTAGGTGTGCCTTTCTTGTGTGGGGTTTCGACGGCGATTCCGGAAAGGCTACAGACCGTTCGGATGTTGAATATTTGCTTACCCTCGGGGGTAGGCTGGAGGGCGACGGATCGAATTGTGACATGTGATGAAAAGTGGATTCTTTACGATAACCGTAAGCGAAAAATGCAATGGCTGACCTCAGTTCCAACGCCGCAACAGTGTCCTAAAGCAAAGCTTACCAATAAAAAGGTAATGGGAACTGTTTGGTGGTCTCAGCTTGGTGTTATTCACTATAGCTTTCTCCGATCTGGTGAAGCAATAACAGCAGAAGCTGCTGCGCCGAACTCCGAACAATGATAGCAAAACTTGCAGTGAAACAGCCCCGACTCATGAATCGATCTTCGCTATTATTGCTCCATAATAACGCGAAACCTCGTACAGCACCAGAAACCGTTTTAACTCTACAGGAACTGCAATTAGAAACCATTCACCACCACCAGTCACCCTCCATATTCGCCAGATCGTGCTCCAACGGACTACAATTTTTTTCGTGATTTAGACAATTTTCTACGTGATAAAAAGGTTTCTTCTCAGGAGGCAGTACAAAATGCTTTCACACAGTTTGTAGAATCTAGATCACCAGAGTTCTATCGCAAAGGCATAAATGACCTTCCTATTAGATGGCAGCAATGTATATATTATTATTTTTTATTGCTTAGATGTATGGACGAGCTCACAGCCCACCTGGTGTTAAGTGGTTACTGGAGCCCATAGACATCTACAACGTAAATGCGCCACACACCTTGAGTTATAGTTCTAAGGTCTCAGTATTGTCACAACGGCTGCCTCACCCTTCAAACCAAAACGCATTACTGCTTCACGACAGAAATAGGCGGGGCGGTGGTACCTACCCGTGCGGACTCACAAGAGGTCCTACCACCAGTGCAAGATATAGATAATAATGGTAGATATTTTAACATGCAAAAACATGTATCTTTCTCATAGTCATTCAAGTCATATAATATTATTAAAATTTATGCCTACATATGTATTAAAGTTTCACCAAAAAATAAAAAAACAGATTCTATTTGAAATGGCTACCTTTGTCTTTTATACAGGCCTATAATATGTATGGCCACGAATCTATGGATTTACACACTGTTTCCAAGGGAAATTCCGCCACTGCTTGCTCCAAAGATTTTTTAAGAGACAATGTCGCCATATCGTTTAGAACAAGCCATATCCTCTAAAACTGTTCATAATTTGAAGTCTAAAAAGTTGAGGTCAGGGCTAGATGAGGGCCAGTCTTCAGCTCTTATAAATCCCGGAACGTTGATTTCAAGCCAGGCTTGGTATTTAATGCCTTTTTACCAGGTGCAGAGTCCACGGTATAATTTTAAAAGTGTATTGTTGTGAGGTTTCACAACATGATCCAAAAATTATAAATAAAAATGAAGACTAAAATGAATCGTTCTCTGTACAGCAAAGAAAAGTTCCCGCAAAGCCTTGGTAGGGGTTGCGCCGAGCCGCCTCTACAGCGAGCCGCTCTACTCGTCCTGACGCGCGGCGGTCGCCCCGGACTCTCCACCGGAAGACTAATGCGACCAACCAACCACTAATGACCTCGCCAGAACATCAGCAAATATATATAATTGTATCAAACGTTTGAATCCTTAATTACGCTAGTTTATTGTTCGTTGTGATCAGCCATAATTAGTACGATCTCTAGAGCACTGCACTGTGCAAGCTGTCGTCGCGAACTACGCGCAACTAAGGTTGCCTGTCCACCGGAGCGGAGCGAGGCAGTGAAGCGAAGAAACGAAGAAATATTAATCAATAAGACTGCACAAAATCTCCGCTCTTTAGTGGACAAGGAGTTGCGAGCTAGTTTAAAAATTCATACAAAACCGGTAAGCGGAGTGGTATAGCGGAGCGAGGCAGCGGAGCGGGGAAGCGAGCGCGGGTGCGGGCGCCCGCAGTATGAACTGACTCGTCACCTAGGTACTAAACTCCGCACCGCATTACTTTTTCGCTCCGCTCCGCTCCCTCGCTCCGCTCCAGTGAACAGACACAGTACGCAACTCCGCTCCGCCTTACTCCGTTGCTCCGCTCCGCTGCCTCGCTCCGCTCCAGTGGACAGGCAGCCTAAGGATCCTCTGAGTCCTCTGACTGAGAAAATTTAACAAATATTTATGTATTTATATTTATGCACTTGCACGGTACATTAGATACGCAAACGTACATGCGTATTGATGTAGAGATTCTGATAGTTAGTGTTAACGAGTAGGTACTAGTTGTAATGAATAACTTTGGGTGGCGATGTTTCTGTCCAAAACTCCGACAAAACAATGTGATATAATATGTTTATTGAAATTTTACAAATTACATTCTAAGTCATGACGAAATAATGTACATACATATATTAGTATTTACCAGATATAATAAAGTATTTTTTTAAGAATATGTTTATTTTTAATATTACTAGCTAACCCGGCAGGCTTCGTAGTGCCTCAATCGATAAATAAAAAATCTAAGCCTTTGTATAAAATAAACTTAAAACAAACAAAAGGAATCCGTCCGACGGGGGACACGTCAAAGGAAAAACAAAATTATTATTTTTATGTAATTCCGAGCATTTTCATATTTATCTACCTTTTAAACCCTTTCTGGACTTCCACAAATAATTCAAGTCCAAAATTAGCCAAATCGGTCCAGCCGTTCTCGAGTTTTAGCGAGACTAACGAACGGCAACTCTATACATATAGGTATTTTTACTAATTCAAGTGACGAATTCTGCGTTTTCATCCACACACTCTTGGTCCTACTTATTTGTTGTACGACATACCTTCATAATTTATAGATTTTATATTCCAGCCAAGCGCTGGAGTCAGACTGAGTCGCAGCAGCCTATCTTCTCTACCGTTCAACGTTTATACGATCAGACCTGGCAGGCTGTTTCTGACTCAGCGGGGTATCCCAGAACACCAGCGACACCGCCGGGTAATCTGACTTGCCGCCGTACCGCGAAGAACGGCGTCTTTAGTCGTCTACCACACATCAGTAAGACGTCCTCGAGGCGACGCCGCGAGTTTGGTTGTAATGCTGACGGCAGCAACTCCCCCAGTCTGCATGGGTTCTGTACCAGGGTGGAGATCGGACATCGGGTGAGAGAGTGCAAGGGGAGTCCTTTAGTGGTTAAGGCCCTAAAAACATTGGATGCGCATTCCGGTCGTAATACCTGCGGACCGGTCCGATCTCGTGGACAAGTCGATGGTGCGCATCGGTCACAGTTGTGTGGTGCTCTACTTTCAAGTCGATCGCGGTATTCCATAGTGGTCGGTCCTCCGGTCAATACTATAATCAGTCTCGTGGTGCCGCCGGTAGGACGCCCGACCGACAGGTCACCGAGGCAATAAACGACGACACTACGCCGGCCGTCTCGATACGGCAGCACTTCAGGCCGTCAACCACACCACCAACCGGTTGTTCCGTGTAGCACGCTAAAGGGGAGGTAGACTGCCGCGCGGCCTCGCCCCCCTTAGGTCGCCCCGTAACCTTCACTGGGGGAAAGGTTGCCTCCTACCTTTTAAGGAGGCTTCCTGGCGAGAAGACATGCCATCTCGAAGGAGACGGTGCGGTATCCACGGATCGCCCTGACCGCAATCGCATGCTACGGGCGTCGCATCGTCGTTTCGTTCTTGCGGGTCAGGGCGTGGCACCGTACGGTGACCCTACATTGCCATGGCGGCACCAAGTCGTCGTGGCCTAAAGGATAAGACGTCCGGTGCATTTGTTGTTGCGATGCATCGATGTTCGAATCCCGCAGGTGGGTACCAATTTTTCTAATGAAATACGTACTTAACAAATGTTCACGATTGACTTCCACGGTGAAGGAATAACATCGTGCAATAAAAATCAAACCCGCAAAATTATAATTTGCGTAATCACTGATGGTAGGACCTTTTGTGAGTCCGCACGGGTAGGTACCACCGCCCTGCCTATTTCTGCCGTGAAGCAGTAATGCGTTTCGGTTTGAAGGGTGGGGTAGCCGTTGTAACTATACTGAGACCTTAGAACTTATATCTCAAGGTGGGTGGCGCATTTACGTTGTAGATGTCTATGGGCTCCAGTAACCACTTAATACCAGGTGGGCTGTGNGCCCTGCCTATTTCTGCCGTGAAGCAGTAATGCGTTTCGGTTTGAAGGGTGGGGTAGCCGTTGTAACTATACTGAGACCTTAGAACTTATATCTCAAGGTGGGTGGCGCATTTACGTTGTAGATGTCTATGGGCTCCAGTAACCACTTAATACCAGGTGGGCTGTGAGCTCGTCCACCCATCTAAGCAATAAAAAAAAAAAACAACCCACATAAAGGCGCGCATCATCGTGTTCCCCAACGTTTGGCAAGAGTCAGCTCAACAAGCTACCTGTCGTCATTAGCTAGGAGCCCAACATCTCGAAACGAGTGCGGAAGACCCAACGACCGTCCTATTCAAGGTTGTGGCACTGTGACCCTTCGGATGCTACGGATGATGAATACCACCCTCAACCCTTAGGCCCACAAGAGTACTGTAATGGTACTTCGTAGGACCCAGTCGTATCCGATATTCCACAGGGGAGGGCCAAGGACTGACCCCTGTGGATCATCACGCTCGACAGAAAAGTGGAGCTCCACACCACCGTGTCCGGTGCACACGACCAACCTGTCCAAAGGATAGAACTTCATCAGTCGGCGAAAGTATGTGGGGATGTCGTAATATTCGAGAGCCCATGCGATCACTGACCAGGGCAATGTGTTGAAAGCGTTGGCGATGTCCAGGGACTGTGCCAAAGACACCCTGCCCCGGGCGACAGCTTAGTCAAAGATGATCGAAACCGTCGCGATTCGAGGCAGCAGTGGCGAAATATCCCTTGGCAACAGTGTGTATATCCATAGATTCGTGGCTAAACAGATTAAAGGCCTGTATAAAAGCCAAAGGTGGCCATTTCGAATAGAGTATTTTTTTATTTTTTGCTGAGACTTTGATAAATATGTATAGTATTTTACAATTTTTATATTAATATTACATTACTTTATTTAAAAAAATGCATTTTCTTTTGTAACAGAACTTATTATAGCATTTTTTTTGTCAAAATCACCATAAATATGATTTAAATATAACGTTTTTTCATAGGTTTAAATCCGTCTAAAAACTTCAGACTCCTTCAGCAGTCTGGTACGAAATAGACGGAAGTGTGAGACATATTATGTGGAACAGATTTAGGTCTATGTCGAAAGTTTTAAATGACACTACCGCTCGTTATAAAAATATTTCTCTGTATGTATAATGTTAAGCCTTTGCCTGTCGATAAATAACATCGTCGTATTCCGGGTCCAGGGTTCAGAGGATTCACTTGAAGCAGCGCGCACCACTTGTCTCGCTTGCGTCATCCGTCACCTTGCTCGGGCCATACCTACACGAATGACAACATCTCCATTCAACTATATGCACATAAGTACATAACCAATGAAACCTCGAGCTATATGAAAAACATCGATACATTGAAGCCACTTGCGCGTTGACGGAACCAAGTGGTGGTGTGCGGTAGGTACTGATACACACGCCGCGCCGTGTCAGTACTACTTTATATTGAATTTCATTTGAGTAACGACGAGGGACATTAACTATGATGGTCGAGACACGGCTTTCTGTTCGTTCAGTACCCACTGTACAGAGCGCTGTCTGCCGGCTCCAGCACGGTGCCGCACACGCGCCGCACACACTCGACACTCACTTGCGTAATAAACCCTATTAATAGATAATAATAACGTAGTATTTCTCAAGCGGAAATTATACATGAACTTGAAACCGTCACGGCCGCTGATCTTTTTTATAATACATATGTATATTATTTACTAGCTAACCCGGCAGACTTCGTAGTGCCTCAATCGATAAATAAAAGACCTAAAACTTTTGTATAAAATAAACTTAAAACAAACAAAAGGAATCCGTCCGATGGGGGGGACATCAAAGGAAAAACGAAATTGTCATTTTTATTTAATTCCGAGCATTTTCATATTTATTTACCTTTTAAACCTTCTCTGGACTTCCACAAATAATTCAAGACCAAAATTAGCCAAATCGGTCCAGCCGTTCTCGAGTTTTAGCGAGACCAACGAACTGCAATTCATTTTTATATATATAAGTATAGATTGCAATATATATATTTCAATATTTGTATATATCAAAAATATTTTATTTCAAAGTGAAATATGTATAATTTCTTAGTGGTCACCATACTAAGCGCAACCTGTAGCACAGTACACCTTCATCTGCTATGTTTACTAATATAAGTATATAATATGTACATACAATTTGTGACAGCTCGATTAATGAACAATATAATATTATTATACACAATGCTACTAATAATAATGAACAGTCTTAACAACTGGTTTGTTCTGTTCATAATGTATAACGACTGGACATAGCAACTATCTAGTGCCTGTGTGGACTTACCTAGCTACTGGCCGCTATAATATTTTCCGAGTCAAGGTGATCAAGAATGATCTACGACTGCTTTTAAGGAATCTATAAATATAAATCCGAACATATTTTTTATTTATATTTATTAATACTTTATTTCAGCTTAAAAAAACCATAACATTTTATTAGTAAAAAATATTTATAATCTATGATAGTAACTTAAAAACCTAATATATAATCAGACATATATTATATATCATTACAATTTTTTTCTCCCAAGTGCCAGCTGCGAAGGCATCTGCAGTCCCTCGATCTTGTTCGATATGATGGTTAGAAGACTGTAGCCACTGTCACGCACTCGGCGCAATAACGATGCACTCCTCTGCCTCATTATTGCAAACAAGTCATCGGTGTGAGATGTCGCAAACATTGTGGATGCACCACAAAAGCGCGGCAATGACAACCATATCCTAAACGCATTATCATATTGAACACGCAGGGCATTGTAAGCTCTCCGCGTATATGTGGTCCACAGTCTACTGGCCTAAAAATTCTGACAATAAGCTTTAAAAAAGTGTAACTTTGACAGAGCTATCGCAACCAGTGAATCTGCGGGCCGGCATATTGCATCTTACTATCAACGCCCTACGCTCCCTATCTATATCACAATCATCCGTACCGCTCTCTGTTACATGTTACATAATATATCTGTAGCATTTTACTAAATCACGAAAGTGAATTATAGTCAATGTTCTTAGAAGGCAGAACTGCGTAAGGCAGAAGGGCAGAAAGGCATTAGTCAGAAAGCTCTAAGTTAGTGCATTAAACGTAAAAATCGTTAAGACAAAACAAACTGTACGATTTGTTCGTTCGTCACAGCACTATATAATAGACTGACCGTGGTGATTATACACGGAAAAAATATATTAGATGAATAGTAAATTGAAAGAAAAAATACTGATTCTTTTTTGTGAACGTACAAATGAATGATTCGTTTAACATAAATACGAAGTTGCGTCGCGGCCTCCCACAGTATCGCCACGAGCGTGCCGACATGTTGATCATAGTGCTGCTCATCGTCGCGTGTGCCATTGTCGTCGCTTTGTACCAGAAGCAAACCAATGGCGTGTGCCAGTCCCGACGGCGACTGGACGGGCGCACGGCAATCGTGACCGGCGGCACCAGCGGCATGGGGCTGCACATCGCCGAGGAGCTGGCGCGCCGCGGGGCCCGCGTCATCGTGGCCTGCCCCTTCCCCGCGGAGGGCGCCGCCGGCCTTGCGCATGTCCGGAGCCGCTCCGGGAACGATGATGTCGTCTTCAAGCTGCTCGACCTGGGCTCGTTGGAGTCGGTGCGCGCGTTCGCCACCCACGTGCTCGCCACCGAGCAGCGCCTGGACATCCTCGTCAACAACGCCGGTGTCGGCGTCCCAGGCGACTTCCTCACGCGAGACGGCTTAAGTTTCATAATGCAAGTCAACTACTTCGGGACTTTCCAGCTGACTCTGCTGCTCCTGCCGCTGCTGATCAAGTCCGGCTCCCCCGAGGATCCGAGCCGCATTGTGAACACTTCCTCGATAGCCCACTGGATCGGGACCGCGGACATGAAGCGGTTGACCGGTGCTGGCCACTACTGGCCTACCGTGAGGGTCTACGCGAACAGCAAGCTCTGTCTCGTGCTGTTCACGCACGAGCTCGCAAAGCGGCTGAGGGGCACTAGCGTAGTCGTGAACTGCGTGGACCCGGGCGCCGTGGGCACCAGGATCTTCGAGTCGCTGAACAAGTTGGTCGGCATAGTGTTGAATGTCGCGGTGCAGTGCTTGTTCAAGACGGCGCGTCAGGGCGCGCAGACGGCTCTGCACGTGGCGCTGGACGAGGCCGCGGGGAGGGTGTCCGGCCAGCTGTTCAAGAACTGCGCCGTGTCCCGCGGGGTCGCGCGCGCCTACCGCGACGACGCCGCGCTGCAGCTCTGGGACGAGTCGGCCCGGCTGGTCCACTTGACCCCCGCTCACATCGAAAAGTGCTTCCTCAGCTCGTAATTTTAATTAATTAATTTACAACATAGGTCGTAATGTATATTATTATGTATGTATGAGGTTTCTATTTTTCTTTGTTTAAAATGTAATTAAACAAAATCATTACCATGTAATTAACCTATGTGAACCCGTTCGATTTCCTGCCTATATCGACTGACTCGGAGGTGCAGCAGTTAGTGCCCCTGATGGGCCGAGGGTCATGGATTCGACATGGGCCAACGTTCATGTGATGAACATGTTTGTTTACCCCTTGTCTGGGTGTTTCCCTTCTGTAAATGTATGAATGTACATCTGTATATATTTAAACGTATATAAATATCATTCTCTGGTTCCCATAGCACAGGAAATCTCAGCTCGGGGACAGATAGCCGAGTGTGACTTGTCAGCAATTATTCTTACCATTTCTAATTAGATTTGAACTCTACCAAGGTCGGCTATTTTTATAGAACCAGGTACAAGCATGTGCCTAGTAATCTGATTCCTTGTGAAATGTTAAGTGATTGAGTTCGCTTGTGTGTCGGCGTGTGCTAGGGAGTGCTTTAATGGGAACATAGTTGTATTTAAAAACCGTCGGACTAGTGAGCGGGCGTCTATAACGACAGATATCTGTACTGGTGCAGCATACAGCATACACAGGACAGAGTACAGGGACAGAGTAGAGGATACAGAGATACAGAGTGTCACAAAATTCAACGTTAACCTGTACTAATGTACCGGGCGAGACGCCAAGTTAATACTAGTTCAAGAAAATATGTTGACCAAAGTTATGAACGATAGCGACCCGCCCTCGCTTCGCTTCGGAAACATTAAAACACACATGAAACCAAAAAAATAAAATAAAAATAAAATTAAAAAAAGTAGCCTATGTTCATCAGGGACAATGTCGGCTTCTAATGGTAAAAGAATTTTTCAAATCGGTCCAGTAGTTTCGGAGCCTATTCGAAACAAACAAACAAACAAATCTTTCCTCTTTATAATATTAGTATAGAAGTATCTAAAAATACAGTGTGATCTCTTATAATGTGCACGTATCGAAATGAGAGAATCTATACTTAATTTTGTCGAGGTAAAAATATGTAAAAAAAGCTAAAAAAAATTTATAGATTTTTAAATTTTTTCGTTCAGTACTGTGACTCCGGTGTAAACAAAACGGACTTTTGAACTAAATGATCTATCGTGGTTAAACAAATTACATAATGATTGGAATTATTTAGGCGTCCTCATAAAATGAAAAAGTGGGAGAAGCCTCCCCTCAATTGAAAATAAACATGTTTTTAGCATAAATCTGTTATTTTTTCATAAATTTTTATTTTATTTATTTATTTATTTATGTACACACAGAAAAAAAGACATAGTACAGAGTAATAGGAAAATTATGTACAAAGGCACTGCTTATTTCTTTAAGAAATTTCTTCGAGCAGACCTGCGAGAGGATAATGAGAATAATAATAAAAAGTGATAAGTGTGTGTAGAACAAATAACACATAACTAAAATAACAAATACAACATGAGAATTATAGTAATGCACATACACATAGCAAATATTGGTAAACTTGAGTACAAAATATTTACAACATTTTACAACGTTTTTTATTACAACATTACAACATTTACAACAAAATATTTACAAGATATTACAACAATCCTAAAATTTTTCAAAAAGACGCCCCCTTTACCTTATTTTTTTATTACTTAAAATTATTCTACATCGTATTAGCTACCCATTAGTAAAAATTTCATGTTTATAACTCAAACGTACCATTTTCTATTAAGTGTGCAATCTGCCCGCAATTTCCAGGAAGTTCACAGAAGGTCGTCGATCACTGGACTTTGATCAAGTAGAGATCGTCGCGAGCCGCCTCAAGTAATTATTGATGTGGCTATTGAAGAAGTAGTAATTAGTGATTTGTTTGCTGATCCATCCATAAGTATTAGAAGATTGTCTCTTCGTCAACGAATATCCCAAAAATCAGCGTGGCTCATTTTAATGAAAGAAGGATTGCATCCTTATCGCTATCAAAGGGTGCAACATCTACACGAAGACGTAGACTGCTGTCTGTTTGTTCCGGCTGATCGCTGGAACGGCTGGACCGATTTTGACGAGACTTTCACTGATAGGTAGCTGATGATATAAGGAGTAACTTAGGCTACTTTTTTTAGACTAGCTTCGCCCCGCGACGTCACCCACGTTACGACAATAACTGCGGGTAACATCGCGGGACACAGCTATCAATAATAATGTTACGCGCTGGAGTTCGGGATAAATAAATGAATGAATGATTTATTTCAGACAACAACAAGTCCATATGTGTACATAGTATCATTGAAATATACTCAAAATTAACAAAACCAATCAAATAAAAAAGATACGTTTATTAAAAATAATTATCAGTTGAATACATTTCAAATATTCCATTCAACTGATACTTACTTCGAACCAACCATTATTATTATTATTATTATTTAGTCCGCAAGTGAACCATGGTACAATGGTTCAAGTACCGACACTCATAACGGTCTGTTAATGCCTTCAAGATGCTAAATAAATGTTCCAGAAAAGTTTTTTTTTTAATTGCCTTGATGTGTGGACGATCTCTCAGCCTACCTGGTGCTTAGTTGTTACTGGAGACCATAGACATCCACAACGTAAATGCGCCACCCACCTTGAGATATAAGTTCTAAGATCTCAGTATAGTTACAACGGCTGCCCCGCCCTTCAAACCGAAACGCATTACTGCTTCACGGCAGAAATAGGCAGAGTGGTGGTACCCACCCGCGTGGACTCACAAGAGGTTCAACCACCAGTAATTACGCAAATTATAATTTTGCGGGTTTGATTTTTATTACACGATGTTATTCCTTCACCGTGGAAGTCAATCGTAAACAATTGTTAAGAACATAATATTTCATTAGAAAAATTGGTACCCGCCTGCGGGATTCGAACACCGGTGCATCGCTCGATACGAATGCACCGGACGTCTTATCCTTTAGGCCACGACGACTTCTTAAAGTTACAACTAAGAACTTCTTAGTACAAATAAAAACTGTATTCAACACTTAAGAACACTTAAAACACTCAACAAACACTTCAAAACTCTCAATTTACTTCTTCCACTTCGCTTCAGGTGATCCGTTCGCTGTTTCGCTTCGAGTAGTTCTGATTACTAGCTGAGTTCGTGACACCCCTGCAACGCTTGTATAGTCGATACGACATCCCAAGAATTACCGAGAACATTCATAACACAGCAGAAGAACAACATAGCAGTCTACGTCGCCCAAAACACGGTCATTTCGGGTCCCCACGATCAACTAACGGTGCTTTTAAGTAACTCAAGAACCGGTCATTGTTCTCGTCGAACCCGTCGCTTGCAACAAAGGGCTCGACGAGTAAATTAACCCACAGACACAGCCCCCTGAGTTTCTCGCCGGATCTTCTCAGTGGGTCGTGTTTCCGATCCGGTGGTAGATTCTGCGAAGCACGGCTCTTGCTAGGGTTCGTGTTAGCAACGTCGTCAGGTTTGAGCCCCGTGAGCTCACTTACTAGTTAAGGTTACGCTGAAATAGCCTCTCAGGGCTATCAGCATAGGTAGGAAAAAAAGCTTTTGCCCTTTTTTGTGCGTGCGGTTCTTATTGAAACATGTTGAGACTTGTTGTATAATTTTAACAGTTTTCGATAGTAGTAGATTGAAATCATTTTGTTACAAGTTTTGGTTAGTTCAGTGAAATATAATTAGGCCAGTTCTGTGTAATTTTGTGGGGCGCCCTTAGCGCTCCTCTCCCGGGTCTGAGTGTAGGTTGCTACGCGGACGACACTTTGGTCGTGGCCCGGGGGAAGGATTTACGCGAGTCTGCCCGTCTTTCCTGCGCGGATGTGGCCTTCGTCGTCGGCAGGATCCGAAGGCTGGGTCTGGAGGTGGCGCTCGATAAATCCCAGGCCCTGTTGTTTCACGGGGCCCGGAGAGCGCCGCCTCAGGGGGCCCACCTCGTGATCGGAGGCGTTCGCGTCAAGATTGAGGCGACCGGGTTGCGGTACCTCGGTCTCGTACTGGACGGTCGTTGGAGCTTCCGCGCTCACTTTGAGAGATTAAGTCCCCGACTGATGGCAGCCGCCGGCTCGCTGAGTCGGCTGTTGCCGAACGTCGGGGGGCCTGACGTGGTGGTGCGCTGCCTCTACACGGGGGTGGTGCGGTCGATGGCACTGTACGGGGCTACCGTGTGGTGCCACGCCCTGACCCGCGACAACGTCGCGGCTTTGCGACGGCCACAGCGGGCGATTGCGGTCAGGGCGGTTCGCGGGTACCGCACCGTCTCGTTCGAGGCGGCGTGTGTGCTCGCCGGGACGCCCCCCTGGGACCTGGAGGCGGAGGCGCTCGCTGCGGATTACGCGTGGCGATACGATCTTCGCTCCAGGGGGGAGCCGCGTCCTGGCGCGGCGGAAGTTCGAGCGCGGAAGCTTCAATCTCGGCGTGCCGTGCTCGAGGCGTGGTCTCGCCGCCTGGCGGATCCCGCCTACGGGCGACGGACCGTCGAGGCGATCCGCCCGGTCCTCTCGGACTGGGTGAATCGCGACCGAGGACGTCTCACCTTCCGAGCGACGCAGGTGCTCACGGGACACGGCTGTTTCGGTCGCTACCTGCACCTCGTCGCCCGGAGGGAGCCGACGCCGAAGTGCCACCACTGCAGTGGCTGCAACGAGGACACGGCGGAGCACACGCTCGCGTACTGCCCCGCTTTCGCGGAGCAGCGCCGCGTCCTCGTTGCAAAAATAGGACCGGACTTGTCGCTTCCGACCGTCGTGGCTACGATGCTCGGCAGCGACGAGTCCTGGCAGGCGATGCTCGACTTCTGCGAGTCCACCATCTCGCAGAAGGAGGCGGCGGAACGGGAGAGGGAGAGCTCTTCTTCCCTCTCGGCGCCGTGCCGCCGCCGTCGGGCCGGGGGTCGGAGGAGGGCGTTTGTCCAGCTCCAGCCCCTATGAGGAGGCAGTCTCCTCCCGGTGATGGTCACGGGGCGACCTAAGGGGGTTGAGGCTGCGCCGCACGCTACCGTCACTCTAGCGCGCTGGCACCAGGAGGACGGGACGGCGCGTCGGCGGCTGCGGACTGCGATGCGGTCCGCATTTTCGTCGTCGCTGTCGTCGCCGAACATACTGTTGAAGAGCAACCCGGTCGGCGGTGTATCGCGTTCCGACCCGGCAGGCTGGTTCTGGCCCAGCGGGGTATCCCGGAACACCAGCGGCACCGCCCGGGCGGCCTGGTAGGGCCGCCGTACCGCGGAGACCGACGTCGTTGGTCGTCGACTATCGCCTCGACGACCCGTCGGTCGGGCGTCCTCGGGGTGGCGCCGCGTGTCTGGTTGTAGTGTTGACCGCGGGAACCCCCCTACTCTGAACGGGTTCTGACCCCGGACGGAGATCGGACGTCGGGTGTAAGAGTGCAGGGGAGTCGTTTAGTGGGTGGGCCCTAAAATCCTTGGGCCCGCGATCTGCTCTCAACACCTGCAGATCGTTGAGTCTCACATACCCCGCGCGCCCCCTAGGCGTGGGGACCTCGTAGGAGGTTCGGCCTCTGGCCCGAAAAAAAAAAAAAAGTTCTGTGTAATTTCTTTCCTTTTTATTTTTTACTACCAACTCACTTCTGGTCGATAACAATAATATATATTATAAATATAAAAGTAATCATGCAACTTGGTGCATGTGAAAGAAGTAAAACTTCTTTTGCGGTGTGTAGTATTGTGGTTTTATTTATTTTTTATCCTTAATTCAAATTTCAATTTGTAACAGGCAATGCTGTGTATAAGAGAAACGACCTCTTCGCCATTTATATACCTATATATTTTTAATTATATATTTTGAATTTTGAGTCATCGTAAAGGATAAAACGTGAGGTGCATTCGTATCTAGCGATGCAACAGGGTTCGAATCCCGCAGGCGGAATACTAATGAAATACGTACTTAACAAATGTTCACGATTGACTTCCACGGTGAAGGATAACATCGTGTAATAAAAATGAAATCCGCAAAATTATAATTTGCGTAATTACCGGTGGTAGGATCCTTTGTGAGTCCGCGTGGGTAGTACCACCACCCTGCCTATTTCTGTCGTGCAGCAGTTCGCAGCAGAATGCGTTTCGGTTTGAAGGGTGGGGCAGCCGTTGTAACTATACTTAGACCTTAGAACTCATATCTCAAGTTGGGTGGCGGCAATTACATTGTATATGTCTAGAGGCTCCGGTAACTACTTGACACCAGGTGGGTTGTGAGCTATTAGCTGTGCTAATAAAATAAATAATAGTAGCATAAAATAAACGCGCAAGTGTGCGACTAGGAGCGTCCGTGCGGGACCTCATACGGCGCGACATGACCGGTACACTCACGCTGACTGCGGCTCATCAAGTTAAGGAAAATCATTTTGAATCAGCAGAAATATTTATTGTCGCCTGTAAGCTATCTGTAGTTATGTGAAGTTCTACGGCCACGCGTTGATGACCCAGCCGAAGTAGCCAGGGTTACCATCGACGTTTCCGTTGTTTCCCCAGAGCAGGCGGTCGCCGTAGCTGTCCACGTGCGCGTCCAGCTTCAGACTCTGCCCGTACTCGTGGTTCTCTATGAGTAAGACGTTGCCGGTCTCCAGCACTACAGGCGTCAGCTTCCACANAAGTAGCCAGGGTTACCATCGACGTTTCCGTTGTTTCCCCAGAGCAGGCGGTCGCCGTAGCTGTCCACGTGCGCGTCCAGCTTCAGACTCTGCCCGTACTCGTGGTTCTCTATGAGTAAGACGTTGCCGGTCTCCAGCACTACAGGCGTCAGCTTCCACAGGTGGCGCTTCTCGTTCGAGTTGTTGGAGCCCCACGCTTTCCTGTCTCCGTACCCGTCTACGTTCACGTCCAGCTTCAGGTACATAGTATGTTCAGTGTTCATTATTTTATACAGCAGCTTGTTATTCTCCCATACCGGGATAAGCTTCCAGCTCACTCTGTGACTAGTCTTGTCCTTGCTGTCGCCCCAGGCCAGGCGGTCGTTGTACGAGTCGACATTGGCGTCCAGCTTCAGAGCTTGATCGTAATATCTTCCGATGATTTTCACCCTTTCTTGCTTGGTGATCAATTTTACTTCCGAAGGGAAAAAGTCATTGACTATATCGTGGTGTCCGGCGGACCACAACTTGTCCGCGTATGCGAACACGTTAGGTTCTCGTGCCCGCAAGAGTCTGTCGATCAGCTCTTCGATCATAAAACCGACGTTATCATGTTCCAAGGACTTCGTGATAGTCACCGCCTTGTCGTAGTCCCCGGTCGACACGTACTTGAACAGCAGATCCATAAGAAGTTGCTTGTTGAGGAAAGCCACGTGCGAGTCCATCATTGTCGGTTCCTGTAAGTAATCGGGCAGCTCGTAGTCCGGACAGTATAGCAGAAGCTTGTTCTTCAGCTCGGCAGCCAGGAGCTTAATACCCTGGGACTCTACTGGCATTCCGTAGATGACGACCATGCCGACGCGCTCGTTAACGATTCTCGTAATGTCTCTGGCGCTGTTCGGAATGATGGGCGCGCTCATGAGCGTCACTATTTTGACCGAGTCATCCTTGATGTAAGCCCGGGTGTCGCAGTCGTTCTCGTCGCGCACCGGGATTCTGTTGGGGATCTTGCGATCCTTGTCCGGCCCGTTGCTGACCTCTTGGTACTGTCGGTTTACGTTGTAGCAGTTGCGGAAGCCCGAATACAGTCCCCCGTTGACGATACTCCCCTCGCCCCAGTAGTCGACATGCTCGATCAGCTCTCCAGTGAAGGGGAGCTTGAGCAGCTTGTACTGCGCTATGTACGGCAGCTCTGAGTACGGATACTCCAGGTCCACGTTGGTCAAGTAGTTGGGGCGCTCGGCAGACTTCCAGTCGTCGTGTGGATCCATCTCGTGTCGTCCTGCGCTCATTATCGGTGGACAGTGTGTCGTAGAGTCGTATGTCGGCTGCATGGAGTCGCATCGTTTATATATACATTCGACGTCAACTCTATGCCTCGTATTATTTTATGTTTTAAATGTAGTTTGTTGTAAACCACAGCCGCAATGTTACTGGGGAGGTGATAAGAGAATCTAACTTTGGGTGAACTTGGGAAAGGCCAATTGGTTTGATTGCATTTTAACTGATAATATAACTATCGCCTTAACTAGTAACTAATGCTCGCAGCTTTGCTTGTCGTTTATCGGCTGTCATCATCTATATATTAATACGTGAAGCAAAAACTTTGCATCCCTTTTTACGAAAATTGCGCGGACGGAGGAGTATGAAATTTTCCACACTTATAGAGAATATAGAGAAGAAGTGCACAATACTAAATTTTTTTTTAAATAATGCATAAAAGATACATTTAATCAATAAAGAAAACATTACACACACTGCATACCATGTATTTGACGCACACACGCATGCATACTATTTATTGTCAAACTTTTGTTCTTGACGTCTGTTGTCAAATTGAAAATAGATTAAATATTGTTTGTCTTTGTTAATATTTTTTATAGTGTAGTCTTGGCGAAATTTGTGATTATAGAAGTATAAAATACAATCATAATAATGTACAAACTTACAATTCCAATTAATTCTTGTCAAATTTCAACTACTGCGGGACCTCTAGTATGTAAATAAAAGTTAAACTTTCTTGAGACATCCACCTGAGGTGGAAATGGAATAAAGTCGTGTGAGCGGAACAGAAGACTGATCCGATCTGCACGTCATCATCAGCATTGTCATCGCGCGCTCCTCCGTTCTGTTTCTACGAGGATGAGCTCTTCATCACTATAAACACTTTGGATCATCAGAACGTATTGCGACATGGCAGAAAGTGCTATCGGTTGCTTCGGCAATACTTTATAATCATAATAAAACTAACCTGGCTCATACTATTACTATCAGTGTTATCGGCTCAAAGCGACGTCTTTCAGGCAACTAACAGATAGAGAACATTTCGTATGTTGGTGAACCACCAGGACCGGGCGCCGTCTTCATATCCGGGAACTGATCCGGTATATGTGTGGCGGTAGCCATCACAGAACACAACAGATGCCTGAATCTCGCTTACGACATTTTCAAGATAAGCTTGCATATATTATACAAGTTTCGAACAACAACAGTTGAACCGTCGGTCTACCCAGCAATATCAGCCGCTCGGTGGAAGATCTTCCCTCCGTCATTAAGCTTTGCAAACATGCATCATTGTACAAATATCAATTAGGTAAACACTGGCCGTACCTGTTACGAGTCCGCGCCCGCCGGTCCCACCAGCCGCCCGTGTCGCCTGTCCGCTGTGCAGGGCGGGGCGGCCGTCATAGCAGACGGTTGAGACTTAGACTATTTTAATAAAAACAAACAAACTAACATTTGTTCGCTTTTTATTATTATTATTAATGAACACTTTATTATTATCTAATTAATATATTATCAGGTTGGTCAGTAGTCTGTTGCGGTTTGTAGTATCGTGTGCAGGCGATAGTAGGGCCCTGAACTTTAGTATATAAGAGGGGCCGTCTAGACACGACGCACACGCAGCAACACGCGCAACCTCAATATGCTGACTAGCTCCAGCCCGTAAGTATACCCTTCCTATTTATATCTATTATAAAATATATACTATTTTCTGTTAAATTTACGTGAAGCGGTAGGGCAGTCCCCAGACCTGTGAACTGGAGTACCTCCTCCTACAGTACCTACACAACGTACCTGAACCTACAATGCTCGTGACGAAACATTAATAGTAACGCGCCCTTCAGCAGTTCCCTCGTGATATCACTCATCGCACGTGATTCAATTTATATTTCATAGTTCACAGGTAAAAACACCGTCAGAGGAAGAATGGGAAGCCGCCTCTGAGCCAGACTACGACACAAATGAGGACCTGTTGTATCCGTACTCCCCAACACCCTACTTCGGTATGTACCACCTCGTGAAGATCCCGATCGGTAGAGGGCTGCTACACCACGTCGATTACTGGGGAGAAGGAAAAGTGACTAACCTTGGCAAGATAAGAGGCTTCCCTCAAAGCTACAATGTAAACGAACAGTTTGCGCTCGTCAGTAAGGGCCACAATAAGGGAAAGCAAATACCCAACAGGATTCCCGTCGTGTCCGTGGACGACAGCGACACTTCCAGTTACATCAGAGACGGCGGCGTCAAAACTGTTACCATCAGCACGGGGCCAATCACTAAGCGGTGCGCTGCAGACGTCGCCAGGATTGTCAACGCGTCCGAAGGACTCGTCGTTGCCTACGGATATTCTGACAATTCTGACGACATTCAAAATCTCGAGCGTGAGCTTGGTAAAAAGGGCTTATACTATGGAGCCGGGTACGAACTGCCCGCAGACTTGAGGACCCAGACGGAATTCAGCACGAAGAGGGTCTTTGCCGACGCAAGTTCAATCAACAATCACTTGTACAACTTGGTTACGGGCGGCGACTACTTCAACGCGGTGAAGACTGTGCGCAGTCTCGTCGACAACCAGGGCTCCGGCGTCTGTCGCGACGTCGTCTCGCAGCTCGTCTCGCATGGCATCAAGAACGCCATGTCGTTCGCGTACAAGCTGTGGCACGAGGGCCACAAGGACATCGTCGAAGATTACTTCCCGAGCGAATTCCAACTCATACTGGACCAAAAGAGAATTAAACTCATCGGCAAACATTACAATCAAGCTCTCAAACTGGATGCTAACGTTGACCGGTACAACGACCGCCTAACCTGGGGAGACGGAAAAGACTACACCAGCTACCGAGTCAGCTGGCGACTCATCTCTCTTTGGGAAAACAACAACGTCATCTTCAAGATACTGAACACCGAACACGAGATGTACTTGAAACTNGACCAAAAGAGAATTAAACTCATCGGCAAACATTACAATCAAGCTCTCAAACTGGATGCTAACGTTGACCGGTACAACGACCGCCTAACCTGGGGAGACGGAAAAGACTACACCAGCTACCGAGTCAGCTGGCGACTCATCTCTCTTTGGGAAAACAACAACGTCATCTTCAAGATACTGAACACCGAACACGAGATGTACTTGAAACTGGACGTGAACGTGGACAGTTACGGCGACAGGAAGACCTGGGGATCGAACGATTCCAGTGAGAAGAGACACACCTGGTATTTATACCCGGTGAAGGTGGGCGACCAACAGCTGTTCCTCATCGAGAACCGGGAGTACCGGCAGGGCCTGAAGCTGGATGCGAACGTGGACTGGTACGGGGACCGCCTTGTGTGGGGGAACAACGGGACAGTCGCCGATAACCCCGAGTACTACGGCTTCATAATCCAGCCGTGGCAGTGAAACCCTCCTACATCCCAGACGACTGCCGCTACATCTGACCATGTTACAATAAATTTTATCACTGTATGACGTGTTGTCTTATTGAGTCTTTACAGAGGAAGCAGTTGTTAAGCATATTTATAATAACACTAGGGTCATCGAACTTTGTATCACCTACATGATATATGTATCTTGTATAAGATGTGGTCAACACTTAATACAATTTTTTTATCTAAATTATCAAATGCAACATAGTTATGCACGTGACGTTTCGCCCATGGGCGAAACAGTGAAGCTCTCACTTGATTCCACAAACTTGCAGCAACTGGTCTTGCGATTTATTTAGGTTCAACGCAAAGACTGGACGCACGGGAAATTGTAGACGCTTAACATCAAATAATCTGTTAGAATCATCGGTATACGCGGGATCAAGCATCGTCATTAGATTTTCACTGCAAGGCTCGTTCCATTGCATAGTCGGGGTTGATTAATGTTATGCACTATAATCACATCGAATCCTACTTTTAATTGTAATTTGTGAGGTAATTTGTGTAATAGTTGACTACGTCATCTTGTTTTCAAACTGTATCAATTATTTATAAGAAAATAACTCTCCTGGAAGAAAGTTCTGCTGGTCCTAAAATCACCTAACAACAAAACCATGGCTCGACTAAAATTATATATTTTAACGTTATGTTCTGTGCCTCCAGTGACCTCGCCCTTGTACTTTTAATTAGGCCATGTTGCAAGCTGGTGCTGCGTTGATTTGCATCTTTAGCGGTAATTTGAAGGCAGAGTGTGTGCAGCTCGTCCACTTTCTGCCGATGTTGCAGCTACGAGGATTCCAGATGAAGCCAACGCGCTAGGGTTATTTCATTTTGCGATCTGATCTTTGCCAACAGTAATGAAATTAGGAAGGAACATCAAGGAAGTAATATCCTCCAGATGTAAAGGAGGTTGTCTTCAGCTTGGTATTTTTTAAAAACAAAGTTTTCACACATATTGACTAATTAATGATAGATTTTATTTTAAACTGTATTTAAAATGTTATTAAAAACTGTATTTAACACTTAGAACACTTAAACAGTTCACAAACACTTTAAAACTCTCAATTCGCTTATTCCGCTTCGCTTCAGGTTGTCCGTTCGCTGTTTTGCTTCGAGTAGTTCCGTTTACTGACTCACCTACAACGCTTTTATAGCCGATACCGCATACCTAGAATTATCGAGAATATTATACACATCTCTAGTAGTAGTTTCCGCTATCTGTCAATAGATGGCGTTGTACTTCTCGAACGTTCTAGATATTCGTTCGACTATTCGGCGATAGATGGCGTTACTCTTACCGGAGTAACAATATAAAAGAATGATATATATATTTGTATCCAAAAAATAAATATATCTCTCTTTTCTTCTTGGTGAGTGATTTTGCCCATGACTATTGTCTCCACTCGAGCGATGACATCTTGGCTCTGCCGAAGCATGCCACCCGAACTGAGCGAGACGTAGACGGCCCACTAAGTGGTGCGCTTTCCGTGGCTATCGTACCATCTACTTCGAGGCAGCGTGTGTACTGGCTGGGACGCCACCTTAGGTCCTGGAGGCGGAGGCGGTCGCCGCTGACTATCACTGGCTGACCTTCGCCTAAGAAGACAACGTGAAAGCTGCTCTGCACGCGTTTTACGCAAGTGTTCGGGTGATTAAAGCCGGCTATCCTCGACCACACTGGTCAGAACTAGTTAGAACCGGTTAGAACGAACTATCGCCACGAACGAACGGCGCCATCCAGGTGGGCCTCGGTTAGCCTGTCGACTGAGAGGTGTAGTGTTCATGGCGCCGTTTAGAATAGGTTCAGGTTTACTTTGGGTCCTGCCAACCGGTCGCTGGCTTCTTACAGGCTGCAGAATCCAAGGGTCGTGACTGCTTGACGGCCGTAATAGCGGCCGGTCTTTATGTTATAACGTTTAGGCTTAGGTAAGGCTTAGGTAAGGTTTAGGCTTAGGTTTGGGTTAGGTTTGGGTTAGGTTTTGGTTAGGTTTTGGTTAGGTTTTGGTTAGGTTTGGTTTAGGTTTGGGTTAGGTTTGGGTTAGGTTTGGTTAGGTTAGGTTAGGTTAGGTTTGGTGAGTGCTACCGCTGCGGCCAGACCGGCCACAAGTCCGCGGGCTGCGCGCTCACCCCGCATTGTACAATCTGCGCCGGCGCCGGTAGGCCTGCAGCGCACGTCTCCGGGGGCAAGGCTTGCGCCAAGCCCCCGAAACAAAGGCAACAGAGGAGCAGCGCCGCCGAAGAGAAACGGCGGAGTCAGCCCGGTACGGCTGCGGTGACACCAATGGACGACGAACAATGACCAGCAGCCCGTATCATATTTTACAGGGCAACCTCAATCGCTCCGCCAGAGCTCAGGACCTGCTGATCCAGAGCATGGCGGAGCGGTTGACCCATCTCGCGGTCGTCGCCGAGCCCTATCGGGTTCCTTCGGTTCCCGACTGGGCGGGAGATATTGGCGGCCTGGTGGCCGTGGTCCAGCGTCGGTCAGCGGTGGGCGCTCCGCCCGAATTCGACGTCGTACAGAAGGGTCGGGGCTTCGTCGCAGTCTTCTGGGCGGGCTTGCTCGTCGTCGGGGTGTACTTCTCCCCCAACCGGCCGCTCGCCGAATTCGAGTCCTTTCTCGACGAACTCGGTCAGGTCGTGGGGAGGTCGCGCTCAAGGCGCGCGCTCGTTCTCGGGGACCTCAACGCGAAGTCGTCCGCTTGGGGTTCCCCGGTCACCT